AAAAAAAAGCCCCCCAGAAGCCTCGCTAGAAGCCTCTTCAAATTACGTCATGTAGCCTAGGTTAAAGCCAAGACGCGCTGGTAGCAACTTAAGATCTTTCAGTGTTTTCCTGCTTTTTAATGAACGGATCTGTTTTTGTTTTTCATTATAATTAGTATTATTATTAACATAATTATTGTTATTCGTCTTCTCGTTGTGCTGCTGTTATCGAGATGTGAAAAAACATACCTAATTCCTATGATTCACATGCTGTGCTCGCGCTCGTACAGTAATGCAGTAACAGACTGTGGTCGAGCACAGCGCGCGCCGTCGCCCAAACACAATTCATTCCTTCAAAGTGGGCTCCGCAACTACTTACCTGTACTTTGCTGAGGGAGTGCCGCAACAGAGACCCGTTTAAAAGCTTCTTCGCACGAGCTGCCCATTGACCAGAAGAGTCCAGCGTCAAAAACAATCCATGTTTGTATGTTCATTCGTGAAGTGCAGGCTGGCGCGCTTCATTCAGCTCGAGCGTGCAGGTGATGCATTTGTCTTCTCGTTCAGTTCTGCATCCATTGCATGGCGATGCCGCACTTTTCACCACCTCGAAGCTACGAGCTGTGGGTCGTGGAGAGAGTTTTTTTTTAACTGCATGCGTCTACTTTGGCTGAGGCTGAGCAGATGCGAGTGTCACATATGCAGCGCAATGTTGGAGAGGAGGAATCAGCATCGTGGACAGCTCCAGCGCGCCCACGCACCCACACTGAAGCTCTACCTCTGCCTGAAGCTCTATGAGGGAAAACAGCCTGTTCAGTCTGCGAATGCAAGACATGACTTAACAACAAAGACAACTGCACTAATAATAATAAAAATAATGACATTAATAGCAAAACAACAAAAAAGAAAGCAGATATTGTTTATTTAAGACAGTGTTCCACATGTGATGCTGTATGTGGATATAAACTGAACTGGGCCCCCCTCCTCCAGACCTCCTCAGATTTATTCCATTCAGAATTTAGGCCACATAAAAGTAAAGGTCAGCGCGTTTCGTCTCGCCCTGAAGTTCTAAGCTGTTTTTGACACTGTGGTGAGGATGGTGGCTCTGGAGGCTAAACTCCAGCAGTCCAGATGTGTAGCAGACTATCCTCTTGTGGCTGATTACAGTAATGCAGATGGCAAACTTTAAAAGATCTAAAAAACAGAAGTACTGAATTTGACAGTAAATCCAAGATGCATACCAAAAATAAAGGTGCCAAAAAGGGTTCTTCTGAGCAAGAACCTGAAGAAACCTTTCAGTGGGTGGTTCTTTGAGAAGCCTTTCTTGTAAAATGGGACACGAGGGTGAAGAACCTTTTCGACAGGTTGAAGAATTTCCACACAATGCCAATTAAAGCCTTTTTCTTCAGCTGTATGTCCAAGTCGAGCCATTTAGGAAACTGTACTTTTAAGAGTGTAGTGTCAGAATAAAATAATTCAGGATTCATTTTGAACACAGAGCTTCCACAAAGGATTGAGTGAGTGATAAAGTGGTTAAATATGACCTCTAGAAAACAAGTACCTTCTCAAATGCTAGCTCAGAAGATAACATGCAGTTTTAGTCAAACTCGGCAGCATCCAACTCTAAATCTGGCCAGTTTTTTCTACATCATTCTCAATTACTCTAGAGTGAAAACACTATTGGGGAAAAAAATACGGTAACTAGGAATAACATGAGTTACTCAACTAAAAAAAAACAGTATTGGTCTTCAGAGAAAACATGAAACCTGGGTTATCACATACAGTTATTTTTGTCCTCTCAGGGATGAGTGACAGTAGAGTGGATTCCTGAGGGAGCTGAACTCCTCTCAGTCACCACGAGAAGGCTCCCACGCTGCCCTGCTGCCTATTCCTGGGGATTAAAGGTTTAAAGGTCCATTGACATGCTGTGCATTATTGTGTGAGGGATAAATGTGGTATATTGGAGTGCTTTAGCCAAGCTGGCATGTGTAGGGCAGTGAAGAAGGGCCTTTGAGCTGGCACATAAGAACATGATTTGTCAATTAAATGCCAATATGACAGCAGGGATGGATCACTGACCGAGCCAGTGGGGCCAGTGCCTGGGGGCTTCAGACCAGAAGCCTCAAGATTGGTCAAATGTTTGCGACAGTCAGTGCAGATGCAAACATCAAATACAGCAAAAAGTAAACAAATATCCAGTGTTGCTCAAATTGAACATGTACTTTTAAATAATATTTAATCTCACTTTTCAGGTCTTTTAATTATTATATTATTTACATTCATTACACATAATTGTTGGAGTGTTAAGGGCCTACAAAAGCTCTAGTGCTCTGGGGCCTCACAAGACCATGATCTGTCCCTGTATGACAGTATAGAAAGGCAGAGTGAGGAGGGCATTTAGGTGTAATTTTTTAATCTAAATGTATTAATACATAATAAGATGCAATATAGAGACTATTTAAACTTAATATATTGTTACATATGTATCTCCATTTTTTTCTATTTTTTTATTCTTCTACATAATAAAATCTCTTTATATTAACTTACATTAAAAGTTAAGAAAGTTTTTTTTTGAAATAGTGATGCACCAAAATGGAAATTCTGAGCTGACGCTGATGTCTGATATTTTTCACATACATAATCTGTCGATACCAATGCTGATATATGTGCATTAATAAAATGTAGAAATTAAGACTAAATTCACTTGGAATAGAATTACAGAGAAATAAAACATTTATTTGTACAGGATTACATAAGCGGTAAAATAAAAACACTGCAGATATTTTAGCCCTGTAGCCCAGCGTCGCCTAGACATTCTGTTCTTCTGATGTACAATAAATGAAACATCAGATATCAGAAATTCTTCAATCTTTAAAAAAGATTCCACACACTGGCACATCTCCTTTACATAACTGACTTAAAGAGCCATCCACTGACAGCTTCTTCAGGGAACCATAACTGTTTCTTCCATGTACCATTTTAGGCACCTTTATTGTTAAGAGACTAAGGCTTTAGTTGGAGATTGAGGTACAGCCATTAATGAGCTGCAGGTGAAGGTATCAGGTAGAATATAGAATTGCAGTTAGCACTCGTGATTACTGAAACTGGAGCCAAGTATGGACATATTGAATGGAAAAAGCATCTTAAGTGGAGCTAAATCCTTCACAAACAGATGTAGGCCAGATGTTGCCAGCACACAGGACCACAGGACAGATTCAGCATCCATCCATCCATCCATCCATCCATCCATTCATCCTCTCTGCTCTAGGAACTCCGCTCTGGATGCTTGTGTGCATGCGTGCGTGTGTTTATAATCCCAGGAGTAATCGGGGGAATCCTTCCTCTTCCACAGCAGCAGTGGTCTGCAGTGGCTGTTCCATTAGGAAAATATGATGCAAAGCTTCGTGTGCACAGTATCTCTGCCATGATCCTGTGGAGAGCAGCCATGAGCCCAATGACGGGGGGAAAAAGAAAACCTCTCAGTGCACCGCAGCCATGGAAAATGAGCACTGTAGCATTTCCGGTTTTAGAAGATCTGTCAGCTTGAAGGCTTGGTGCTGTAAAATCCTTCAACAATGGAGATTTTGACTGACAGCTCAAGTGAATTACAAGGTCCTTGCAGCCCCACTTTATTACTGAAGGCCATGTATCTTTCAATAAAAGCTAGCGGCAGGCTGCAGTATGAATATTTCAGATTAATTAAGTGATCATACATCTTGACAGGAAAGGCTGCGTTCACACTAAGAATTTTTTGAATTGGAAAAGTGCTGGAGCGTGTTCTGTGCTATTTTGTGCCGATTCTAAGAGATGCGAATCGATGTAGTCGATTGCAAGAGTTTATTCCACATGTCAAAAATGACGTAAAGCCACTATTGCACATGCAGTTTTATGCAGAAATTTTTCATTAATTAGAAAAGTGGGGTTGTGTAAACTAGGTGTGGACCACATGGCAAAAAACATAACATCACAATATTTTAATACATTTTCACATTACACAATTTGCATCATGGCATTTAGTTTTCCTTAACATACCAGTAATGCCCCAGTTTCAACACTGTCAAAATCTTTGAATACAATGATTAAAGTGCTGTGCTAAATCCAGATAAACAGGACTAATTATTCTTTCTTTGTAAAGAAACATGCAGTTGATAAGTGTTCTACCAATGATGCTCACAATATGCTCAGTAAAGCATGTTGTGATGTAATTCATCATAATAATGGTAAATATTGTCATATTGACAGAGCAATTTGCTTTAATGAGAACTTAGCACAATTCCCTCAAAATTACTTGGACGGTTTACATGTGAATCAACGCTGGCGCATTACCAGATAAACAATGACGTCTTGATTATGGCCCGCATAGCTAAGCGTTTCTACAGTGTTTTTAGTGTTGTGTATATAATTCTAGAGGCACATCACTTGAAAGAAGAGGCACTCTCTGTCTCTTGTGTGTGCATGGCTGCTACTGCGCATAAGCAATGCAGTATGACCAGCAAAGCGCAGTGTTTCTGTGAGGCGTTTGTTCTTACCATAGACATACAAACATATTGACTGTGAACCACTTCTTTACTTTCTTTTTCCACTTTGTCCAAAGTTAAATATAGTATATCCATGAATGTGTGTGTTGTGGAAGGATGTACTTTTCAGGAATCAAGTCTAAAGTTTTGGAGTCGACTCTTGATTTCCAAATGCCTGGAATCGGAGAATTAACTCTTATTGGGAATGATTGGCAGCCTTACTGTGTTATGTTTTGTATTCAATTATAACGCTAACTTTTAGTTAGCTTAGCCATCTATCAGGACTAGATGTATTCCTTTTAGTTAAAGTCAGATGTATTTGTCTGTGTTAAGTCTAACTATAATGAAGAGGAGGCTCTAACAAAACAAATGCACTGCTGGTAGCACTTGCTAAAATTGGCCACTTCCCATAATGTTACATGTAAAAAGGTTGAGGACAGAAAAACGCCTAGCGCGAACACAGCCCATATTTTTAATACCAGTAAACAAAATCATATCAGTCAAGAAGCATATCAGGCATGAATTTATTGCTTCGGACATATGTATGCTTTACATGGCAACTGTACATCTCTGAAAGAATCGATTCTTCTGAAAGAGAGCACAACTCACTCTTCGCAACTCTTGAGTTGTTTCTTTAAAATGGCACATCTTTGTTTCCCCCACATATAAAGCCCTGATTGGTGGTTACATGAGTTCTGAGCTGCATGTCTAGCTGGCAGCTCTGCCTTTCAGTGACCTGCTGAGTTGCTAAGCTCATGTGCATGGGTTCCCATTGTGCTAATCTCACCTCAGTACTGCAAGATCACCGCCTAATGATTGCTGTATAATAGCTGAGCCTTTCTGCAGTTGCACCGTTGCACTCATCTGGTCAGTGCCCTTATTTTCCAGGACAACATCACACCACAGGACATACAGACTGTCAGCTCGAGTGGATGAAAGGCAATGTTTATTATAACGTGGTTGAGAGATTGAGAACAGCCTATGGACCTCAATGAAGCTGCTGAAATGCAGGGAGTGTCCTCATCACATTCCTCTCTCCATCTCTATCACTGTCTCACTGTCAGTCTGTCCCTGAGCCATGCTCTGCTGTCTCTGCCCTCACGACAATTGGGGATCACTGCCAAGCGCCCGCAGAGGTGTCATCACACTTCAGCATCACTTTCACCTTCATAACTCAATTCTCTATCTCTGTCTCTCTCTCTTTTGTTCTCAGGAGGGCATACATACACCTTTTCTTCTATCTCTGCAGTTATTTTATCCATGTTCAGCCTCAGTTCTGCATAAATATGTACTCTGGCCATTTGCAGTGGGTAGTAGCTAGTTACATTTACTTGATTACATGTATATGTCTGAGTCTTTTTGAATAGTTTTGCTTCTATTCAAGTATATTTGTGTGGAAATGAATTTCTCAGTTCCACCTTAACCTTTCACATTATCTAAAAGTTAGGACACCCCTGGTCAAATTACAAGTTTTGTTGATTTTCTAAGTGACAATTGCTAATTTTAGACTGTAGTTCCTATTTATTTGTTGATTTCAATACTGGTGAGGTGTGTTCTCTGTAGAGGATGTTTACTTATTTTTGCTTAGAAAATGAACAATATGTGTAACTGTATTGGATCTTGGGGCCCAAACTTCTGCATATGATTTTATTTTTTCTGTTCTAATGGTTCTAGACTGCTTTGCTGTTGCTCACAGCTCTTGCTTCAGCATTTTATTTTAGAGAAAAAGAAGAACAGAACACCCACAAAAACATATTCCTAAGCTGATGGATGTTGGATCTACTTAGATGTTCCACTGCAGTTCTATTGGGAGCCCAGTATTTGAGGGGACCTGATTTTTTGAACTCTAGGCCAGGCTACTTTTACTTCTACCTGAGTCATTAGGTCATTGATGTAACAGTTAGGCCTGTCAGGATCAGGATCATTTAGCTGATAATTAACTGCTGTGTAATTAAGATTAATAGCTGTGTTTTTTGTTTGTTGCACTCAACTACTGAAGTACAGGCCTAAAGTGGCAAAAAATGGCTGATTAGCTGTCTTACTTCGTAGTTGTCAATGCTTAGCTAGTAGCTCCCAGTTGACGAAAGGCACAGCTCAAGCTCAAATGAACAACTATTTACTGCTGCCCTTTAAAGGTGTCATAGTCAGAAGAACCTTTGCGTTTTCTGTTTCCTTTTATTTACCATGCCAATTTAGCGTCCTGTTTGTTGAGAGGTAAACACATGATTGTGAAAGTTAACAACTGTGGAAAATAATCGTGGTCAGCTAAAATAACTGCAATCATCTCAAATAACTGCGATCAATAACTGTCACAGACTTAGTAACAATACTTTTAACTTGAGTATGTGTCAGACTACGCTACCCACCTCTGGCCATTTGCTTGAGATCTGACAGTAACGCTCTCGTCTTTCATCTTTCAGTTCTGACTTTGCGTCTGACAGAAAGTCTCTTAAATTATTTTCCACAGTAGCATGAAAAAACCCCAAGCCTTTTCAGAACCCTCTGTCCAGCTGCAGAAAGCCATAACCCTCTGACCAAGTCACAACACAGGGGAAAGAAAAAGCATCGAAAGCTACTCTACATTAAATAAGTTCATAAGCAATTCATATCAATATAGGTAGGAAAAACAACAACTCAATGATTATGGCGAAGCCTACACTAAGAGGACCGGCAACGTGGCAACAGGAAAGAAATGCCATAGTCTATCAAAGCTCAAGCTAATCACGCTAATCAATGCTGCAATCTGCAGTTCCACGACTCGAGGTCTAGCTTACATTTATGTTTATTTAGCTGCACATTAGCATAGCGTCGTAGCACAATTTTCAGTTCTTCCCCAGAGGGTCAAGAGCTGACATTAAAGCAAAGCATACACAGCCTATATACAAGTGATTTGAAAGTCTTAACTGCAACCCGACCTTCTTTACTCCACATACTGCAGTATTAAAGAGCAAAGTTTCAAAAGCTGCCACTAGGGGGCGCAATGCAAGTCAGCCCGCTTACTTGAAAAATGGCTTTAAGCTATAACAAAGATGAGTAAAATGAAAGCTGGACTCAAGATTGTTTTTAAAAAGGTAATCGCTGGAGATTTCAGTGCACTCTTACGGTATTGTCTCTCTGAAGGCAACACTTTTAGCATGGCTATTTGTCCGCTTTGCATCGCCACTCGCTGCTTCAAAATGCTCAAGCTACAACTTAAACACTAGAAGCCTCGAGCTCATTCGTACAAAGCAAGGTTTTCAAGATGAGCATTGATACAGTAGAAAAAAACTTTTTTTTGCGTTGCATTTGGCATTGCTGTACTTGTAATTATGTACATTATTATTTGACTCACTGATAGATGTGGATGCCAAATGCATAATAGTTTTTGTCTTATCATTTTTGAAAGTTGGAAACTTGATTAATTATGAGCGAAATCCTTGCTTTTGTTGAGTACATTACAATAGAAGATAAATGCAACATCACCTATGAAATCCTAGTAGAAGAGTAATATACAGTAGAAAGTCAAGGCAGATATGGCGATAGTATTCCCACAGAGCTTTGAATCGATCATGCAATCTTTGAACACAGAAGGGAAAGAGTACAGGAGAGCTTTTTGGATAAGCTGTGGAGTGAATAAATGTTTGGCATCGTTTTTGTTCCTCGCAGGTTTAGTTCATGGCGGTCATGAATGGCAGAATGGACAGAAGAAAGACATGAAGGGGAAAAAGGGTGGAAAGGTCAGGGAGGTGGTGGCCATTCTGCATGGGTCAAACATTCGTTTTGATGACCTGTTCCCTGTTGAGGTACGTGGCCCAGTAGACCAGGTTGAAGGTGCCAAAGAGGACAGGGAACACTATCCGGGACATCTTGTCGATCTTGCTGACGCTGTTGTAGGTCTTTTTGGGGTCCAGTGCTGGCTTGGTCTCGGCGCACTTCATCTGAACAGCCGTGCTGTTGGAAATGGTGGCAATGGCGGCGTCCTTGGTGATGTTAGCCGTGAAGTTCACTCCGGTGGAGCAGGCATTGTTGGCCTTCTTTGATAGTGCCAACGGATCTTTTTTCTGTGGTTAAAAACATAAAGAAAGTGATAATACATTAAATTACGGTGTTGAACGGGTGGGCGATACGGCAAAAATATTATATCACAATACTGCAAGATATTTTCACAACACACAATATGCATCACAGTATTTTGTTTTCCTGAGATTTAATAAGTTGGAACAGACAAAATAGAACCTGTAGCACCACATATAAAAATATAATAATAATAATAATTAATAAATAAATGGTAAAGTAATTTAATAATAAATAATAAAGTCCAATTAAAAACAGTCCCAATTATGCTCAAAAGCATGTAGTTAGCCAGTGTTCTTTAAGTACTGACGATACCTACAATATTCTCAGAAAGGCATATTGTGACATGCTTTCTTACGACAGCGATAAAATATACGATATAACGATTGTCATACTGCCCACCCCTACAGTGGGGTCCAAATGTCTGATACCACTAATCAAAATGCTTCTACTGAGCATTCTTTTCTAATTTAACATAGTTTTTCATTACAAACTATATTATCAGCATAACAATTTGAGTTAAAAAGTTGAATCTTTGAAATATTTACATGAATTTCACAATTTCATGGTATTTGGGATGTCCCTCTGAACATGTGCTTCAATGGAAGGCATAAGATGAGAAAGTAAATTTTTGTACAAATTGGTCAGTATCACAATTTTGCTTAATAGTGAATAGCAACCTAGAAATCACACAGAATCTTTTCTTTTCAAAGAAGCATTTCTTCTTTGTTTTTCATTTTTCAAATTTTCAAACCTTACTGTTGTTTATTTCCAAGATTTTCAATGTGGTCTCAGATTTTTGGAACCCACTTTTATTGTTCTTCTGATATGAATATAACATTTTATATACTTTATATAATTATTGTTCATCTGATAAAAAAAAAAACAAAAAAAAAAACATAATTTGGACTAAACAGCTTTTATTAAGTACAGTGAGATGCGGAAAACAGAATGTAAACAAATGGCATGTGGTGTATGTTTAGTGCATTAAGAACTAAAATGTACAATACACTAAAAAAACTTGCTAAGAAATATTAAGTCCATTAAAGGTTATTAAAAACCACATCAAAAATATGATGTTCACAATATTGCCCAATTCTGTATGTTGGTAAGAAAAATAAAATATTGTAATATTTGATACGTCAAATATTGATGTAATATGCTCAGTAATATGCTCAGTCTTATTGACAATGTTTTTTATGTAAAGGTTCCACACCAATAATGTTTTTTTCCCTAGAACCACGTATCCAAACCAAGAACAATAGGAGCGTTTATGTTTAAGACTGATTAAGTTGTCAGACAAGGCTTTCTTCCCTGCACTAAAAGAGTAAAAAATTCATTATATCTACAGTTTATAACTAAACCTTCCACCTCCCCCCTCAACCTATCACCCTTGCAAATTTTTTCAGTTTCGACCGGCAGCATCACGACTTTTTAAGAGCAGAGTTGCGATGCTGTGAGAATGTCACTGCAGCTTTAGCTTCTCTGATAGCACAGATAATGAACCAGTTTGAAGGTTGTAGCCTTCTTGTTAGAAGAGAACAATGCTGTTAACAAAGATCCAGCTCTGTAGAGGAGACAATTGCCTCTGCAGAACAAAGCTGAAAAGATTAATTAATGAAGAGACACCATGGTAATGGAAGAGCTGAGGCTATGGTTTAAGAGGTCTTGCCGACAGACTGGAGTGAACTTGTCTCATCTGCACACTGCCAACAATGAATGCGAGTCAGAAGGACTAAAGATGTCTATTACGAGTGAAATATTATTAAGGTTTTATTTTGAAATTCCTGCTCTGCTTGTCATCAACTCTGCTTGGCTTACAGACACACACAAGTGTGTCGTCATGAAGACACAAAGTCATCAGAGCTCTTAAATGGGCTCAAATGTTATGTTCAGGTATGTTCTGCTCATTAGTCTGTGAAAAGTGAGCGTGCTGCTGTAGGTAAATGGGACGGGGTAAACAGTGAAAGCTGAGTTCAGACTTTTCTCCCTGTTAGGATTTTCAAACTTCAGCAACTCTACTGTCGCATGACTTTTAAAATAAGCTATAGTCTGTTTGTGAGGACAGATTAAATGAAAACAAACATTTACAGAACTCAATTTTACTTTTTTCTCAGGAGAGAGAAAAGCAGTGGTGATTTTGTCACAGCAGGTTCATCCTTATTTAAATAAGGCTTCACCTCAGAGGTTTGTTTTGATCAGTGGGGAAACCATTAAAGCACTGCTCTGCAGAAACTCATCTAAAACCCCATCTAGCAGCATGCTAGATCACTGAAAATGGAACTTTTGGAAAACTCTTCAGGGTGGAAACTGGTTTACATGTTTTCACTGAGATGGGTAAAACGTATCAGTAACACGTACTGGACGCATTTAAAAAGCACGGTTCTTCAGGGGTTCTTTAGTAAAGTGCCATGACAAAATCCAGTGTCAGAAAAAATGATGTCAGCTGCCACAGGTATTACATTAATTTGACATGAGTTGACAAAAGCAGCCTTCTAAACATTGCTCTGTTCTCGCAAAACAGATGGTTCTTCAAGGGTTCTTTAGTAAAGAAAGTTGTTCTACATAGAACCATGAACCTTCAAAGAACCCCTTCTATGATTAAAGGGTTCTTTGCATTGTGAAACGGTTCTTCAGATTGGTAGGGAATGTGCTGTAGATAGTTCTATATAGAAACTTTTAAAAAAAGGGTTCTATACAGCAACAAGCCTGATATTGTAACAGTAGAAGAACCCTTTTTGGTGCTATATAGAACCCTTTTCAAAAAGGTTCTATATTGAACAAACTACAGCACATTCTCTATCAACCTGATGGAGAAGAACACTTTAACGATGCAAAGAACCCTTTTATCATGCAAAGGGTTCTTTGAATACTCATCATTCTATACAGAACTATTTTCTTTAATAAAGAACCCTTGAAGAGCCATCATTTTTAAGTGTGTACAGTCTTAGCAAAAAGAGTTCTATATAGTACCAAAAAATGGTTCTTTGGCTTGTAACAATAGTGGAACCCTCTTTGGTGCTATATAGAACCCCTTTCAAAAAGGTTCTATATAGATCCATCTATAGCACATTCTGTAGAGTTCTATATAGCAACAAGCCTGACAGTGTAACAACAGAAAAACCCTTTTTGGTGCTATATAGAACCCTCTTCAAAAAGGTTCTACATAGAACCATGTACAGCGCATTCTCCATCAATCTGAAGAATCATTTCACAATGTAAAGAACGCTTTAACCATGCAAAGCGTTCCTTGACTGTTCATGGTTCTATATAGAACCATATTCCTTACTAAAGAACTGTTGAAGAACCATCTGTTTTAAGAGAGTAGGTTGATGTTCATAAGGCTGCTTTTGTCAACTTGTCAAGCTGATGTAACACCTGTGTCAGCTGACATCAGTGTTTTCTGACACTGGATTGTGTCGTGACACTTTTTTTGAGACAACTGACTTTATAGCTTAGTGTACATCACAGTAACATAACACTGATGATGTGACAGCTTAGATGTTATTAATATTAAAATGAAACTCACTCACTTAAACCTCAGAGCCACAGAAAACTTATTTTTAACAAGGCTGACTCTGCAAGCTACGTCATATTATCAGTATAATGGAAACTATAACTGGAAAAATATTTCCCAATATGTTAAATTCAGCAAATAAACAGCAATTATGTCTGCAAGTGTGCAGATGTATGTTCTCCTTAGAGGATTACGCAACAATGTATAACCAACAAAACATAATTTGACCTGGGGTGCCAAAACTTTTCCACATGATTTGTGCACTGAACCAAAACATCTGTCATGACCTCAGATCAGGAAAAATTAGCCACCCAACATAGACGTATGCAACTTTATGATAAATGATGCCTATTGGAATAAGCCTTTATGAATGTTTATGCAAGTTTAAGTCAGTTGTCATGATGAGCCAGGATGTCATGTAGCCTTATTAACACCCTATTTGCCCTCCTATTGGTGTTACCAATGTATGTATGTTTGCACATGGCCACTACTGTTTTGCATGCCTCTATAGAGGAGCAGGGTCTTTCTGTGTGGTGGGTAATACTGCGCTTTACTTTATTACACTGTTAGTCTACACACTTCTACCTTATTTTCTCAGTACTTTTAGACATAACCACTGTGTTGTTGCGTTTGCAATCCATCATCATCTGTCTCTACAACTCAAACTTTGTGCTCTATATTTTGCACAGTACGCATGTTTGAAATGTTCTTCTCAAGGCGATTGACATCAATTTTTCTGACATGGGCTGGCAAGCTCATGGAGGCTTTTTCAAAACACTTTTGCTTTTTTGTGCAGATGGAGAGGTTTTTCAAACTATGCTGGTGTGGATGGGGAATTTTTGGAAAAATGAAAAGGAGGGGATTTCAGAACTGCTGGTGTGGACAATTATCACAGTATTTATCAAAATTATGTATAATTAATTGGTTAAGATATAAACATAATCATTCAGAGTTGTTTGATGTGAAATGCTCCATTCTAGAGAAACTGAGTGGTGACAATAGGAATCAGATGAAAGAGCTTAATGTCTCTAAAAGCTGGCTTAGAGAAAGTTATCACAATAAATGTTTACGCACACAGTGCCTGATGTCTGAGACATTGTTTTACAATAGTTCTGGGATATGGCTTTGGCTTATATTATGTTTTTTAAAAGCCTTTCATGGCAGAGAGATACATGCAGGGCATTGTAAGGCAACATAGTAACAAAGGAAAACATATTTTTTCAGATATAATACTATTTTACCTTAAACAATATTAAATCTAAAAAATCAGAAATCATGGGATAGTAATTAAAATGGCTACATTTGCATTGTAGACCTTGTGACATCTGTTTCCCTTCACTACTGTGAAGAAATCAGAGTCAGTACGTTTTCTACAATAACCCAGTTCATACCAAACCACTCTGAATCCAACATGTTGTGTAATATAATGCAATTATAATGTAACTATGAGACTCAGTTCAACAAAGCTGTGTGGTAAGACTTTTGAGCTTTAGGTCTGGAGGCTCAGTGTGTGAGGGAGGAGGGAGCTGGCCCAGTGCCCAGTCGTGCAGGTGGAAGGTGGTGGATATTGAGCGTTGGAGACGTATCGATCGTCCTCTCTGTTTTAACGCCTCAGCATCACCCCATTTCATCCTGTTCTTTCCAGCGCCTGTGTCACTGGCCCTCGCGCACCGAATCGCTTAAAACGTGTGGACCTCACAAGACCTCTCTCCGCTGATCTGCTTCAGTGCTCCGCAGACAGAAAACAAACAAAAACACCTTGACGCAGCAAATGAAAAGAATGGCCTGTGGCTCGCGCCACTGCTGTGGGCTGATCATGGAATCCGCAGCAGGACTGCCACTGTTTGAGAGTATACAGCGTGTCTGACCTTTCTGACAGCATAGTTTAAGGCCCCAGACGCGACCTCCACAAGTCCTGCTGTCGCGTCTCACAAACACAAACAATGCGAAGATCAGCACCGAGTGGGCTTTGACTATTGTTTGCGAACACTGCAGCCCGTAAATTAGTGCCTTGGAGAAAACAGGTCTTACGTAAGTAGAGGCAAATGCATGACATTTAGATATACTTTAGGAAAAGAGGATGAAGAGCAGTGTGGTTCGAAGGGTTTACGAGGGGAGGTTTTTCCAGGTGATGCTGGACAAAGTTCTCTAGTGAAGAAGCTGATGGCCTTAAAAGATGGCATCCCTCAGCAGCACCAACTACACTGTCACTAATAGATTAATATTTGAGCAAAGGTCAGTGTCTGAAACATGAAAGAAAACAAAACCATTCTGAGGATCTCGAGATGTTTCAGCCCAACAAAACTATTACAGATGAAAGCACAGAGTAATCATCTTCTCTGATTCAACAGTAATGGAAGGCCAAAGTGCATTACATAACTTTAAGAAGCAAAGCGACACATTTAAAGAAAAATTCTCTAACTAAATCATAAATGGCTCTCTTCCAGTGGCTGTTGTGAAAGAAGTTTCTTTGTTCCACATCACTGCAGGTTTAGCTACACTCCAGTTTTTGTACTGAACTGTGCAAAAGCCCGAGACTACCCTCCTTTATTTAATTTCCTGTCAAAACGGCCATGAAGTACACATTGTTCATTTTTAGTAGATATTCCTGATGAGTTTTAAGATTTAAGATAATCCACATGTAGAAGAATGGGTGAAGTCTAAGGAAAATAATGTGAAAAAGTTTCAAAACTGGAATAAAACAAAAAAACATTAAAAGATACAGAGAAATTTAAACTCTTGACCAGCATACAAGATGGTAGACCACCAAAACTGTCACCATCAGATAAACAGTACTTAAAACTTTCATCTTTGAGAGAGAGGAGAAAATCAAGCTCCACTCTTGCTCCAGATCTCACAGTATCCACAGGTGTTTTTGTCCATCCTTCCACTGTACGAAGACAACTCAACACTATGAGTCTGAAAGGACGTGTAGCTGTCAAGAACAAGGGCATTGGCTGGGCCTGTAAAGATCCAGGGCCAATTAACCTGTAAAATGTGCAGTTGCTATTTTTAAATTAATATTAGTATTTACACATCAACAAAACGTGCAGCGATTCAGCAGTGTTGACTGGCGTGTCAACAAAATTACTAAAAAACAAACAAAAGCAGAGTGAAAACGCTGTGACAGAACATAAAAAAGATTGTATTGTTTCCTTAATGATGCCATTACATAAGTCCTCTGCTCATTTCCTCTCTCTCCACATCAACCATCTCTTCTACACGTCTCCTCTCCAATGTACTACTAACACACAAACATTATCTGTAGTTTTTACATATTTAGCTTATAAAATATATTTCCTTAAAAATATATAAAAATGATAGATAAAATGTGCCAGAATGCAACACTTTGTTCTGTGAACTTACTATTTGATGTTCAATTAACTTTACATTTTAAAACACCTAGTTTACTTACTTTTAAAAGTTAAATGAGTTGCCTTTATTTTTTTTACAGAAATTTCAGGCAAACATGCATTTTTGCACTCTCTCTCGTGTGGGGGCACATGCACTCTTTCTCTCTCTATTGCGTCTCTCTCTGGTCAAGAAGCTGTTAAAATAGTCAAAAATTGCCAAATACAGCAAAGAACCTCCTGGTGTTCTTGGAACAGCTGGCCACCCCAGAGCTCAGAGGTCAGCACAGGATTTGGAAAACAACTACAATCTGGAAATGCAACCAACTGCTACGAATGAACTTTAGAATGTGTGGAAAAATCCCTGCAGATTTTTTAGCAAAAAATTAAAAGCAAAGAGCATCTTGAAAAGAATGGAAGCTGTAGTAAAGGTAAAAGGTGGACACACTAAATACTAGGAAAAATTATATTACATTTAGTAGTTCAGGATTTTGTGTCAATTTCTGTTAAATAAATGTTTTCTGCTTTTTTGCTGACGCTGAAAAATGAATAACTTGCCTGTTTTGGCTGGAAATTAAATATACAAAAGGTGGTCTCTGACTTTTGAACAGTACTGTACACATACACACACACACACACTCACTTTGGGCTGTTGAGCCTCCATGGCTTTCTTGCCGTCCCAGGCCCAGCTGCGTTTGGTGAAGTAGTTGACTGTGGCAAACTCGATAAGGGCAGAGAAGACGAAGGCGTAACACACTGCGATAAACCAATCCATGGCTGTGGCATAGGCCACCTTGGGCAGAGAGTTCCGGGCACTGATACTGAGCGTGGTCATGGTCAATACAGTGGTCACACCTGAGGATAGAGTGAGAGGAGCAGAATGAGAAAAATAGCAAGCTAATAAAATAAAAATAAATAAAATAAATAAAAAATAGCAAAATAATAAAAATGAACTTAGAATCCAAGAACATGCGCCAGGAGTGTTTAAATAAACCACCATGGCAAGAAGGCTAGTAAAGGGTTAACAGCACTTGTATCTAGAAAACTACAGAAAGACAATGTACCATGAGAGGGTATATATTAGATCACAGTACTGGGCAATATTGATAAAATCCAGTCTAACAATATTTTCTGAATATATCACATCATCACAGTATTTAATGACGTTTAGGTCGGCATGTTAATAAACCAAGCATCCTGAGTGTTGCTACTCCACATCAGTATCCATCGGCAGGTCCAGACAACTATTATATACTCCTACGACTTAAGAATAACTCAGCCGATATGCATTGCATCCAGAAAAAGATATATATAGCAGTTAACTGTCAGATCTTGGATTCTATATGTGAAGGGCCACAAACTAGAATAAAAAAACAAACATAACGCTCATTATCTATTAAACATCACAAAAATACTGCTGAAAAGTAATATCACTGTATGTTGATATGATAGTATACCAGGATAGATAATACTTCATCCAGCACTATTAGATCATATTTGAAATACTACTGTTCTGTTGAAATACTACTGTTTCCATAAAAATACAAATACAAAAATCACCTCATCACATGAATCCAAGGACACAGTGTCACTGATGTGAAGCACTTATCTTAAGAAGCACCAAAAGCTCTCTGATTGCTAATGATGCCCCTTGTGTAAAATATTTAGCTTGCTGAATGTGAGTGAGTGATGTACTGAGTTACACGCCAGGTCTATGAGGTACTTTGCATCTGAAAGAGACTATCTTTGAACTCTTTGAACGTTTTTTAAACTAAATCACAAATCAGGCCAGGCAGCGTCGCTAAAATATATAGCCACCTACCAGTCCCTTGACTTGGCTCCACTGAGTTAAATGACAGTATTACACAACAAAATCAGCGTGCTGTTTCTGGGTTATGGAATACGTAGTAGAAGCCTGATGTTTGGGTGTTTAGGGACTCCCGTCTGAACTAGTGTGGAGCTAAATTGTTCTGCTGATTGTGGGAGAGATGTGCCAGTGCTTTATACACAAGCAGCTGTAACAGCACTGTCCCCCAGACTTTGAATCCAGAGAACTCTCAACCTCAGACAGTGCCCTGTATGTATGTTTGTATTTCTTTATGTATAGAGAAAATGGAAATACTCATGAGGTATGTTGTGATGGCCTTCACTTGAAACATGCTTTATAACAGAAACACGAGAGACATGAAAGAAAGAAATATAAAACAAACATTAATTCTATTTTTTTACTTCAGCTAATCAAATTGGCTGATTAACTGTCTTGCTTCCTGGCTGTCAACCCTTTGAGCTCTTATGTGAGCTCAAATAAGCCAACAGTACTCACTGCTGCCATCTAAAGGTGTCGTTGCACCAGTCAGAAGTAGGGCTTGAATGTCTAATTGTGATTTTTCTGACCAATATTGTGACTATAATCTAAATTGTATATGTTTTTTTTTTTTATTTGAGGTCCAGGCCTGTTGTTTTGGCCAAGAAGATCAGAGCATCTGGTTTTTCTAGCTTGAGGCTTGAACATCTGTACCAGCAGTGAGCCAGACTGACAGTAAGTTGTAGTTCTGTTGTCATGTACACAGCACATGGGTGTTTGGCTGCTTCTGAATGGTCAACTACAGACAGTTCACAAGCTCTGTTTTATTAGATTAAATTTCCAGTTGTTAAGACACAGTTGTTGATAATGTGGCATACGATTAAAATTGGAGCTCTTGCGATTTGACATGCTGTCTGTTTTATTTACATGCATTTGTCGCAACCTAAATGATGAAAATTCACCCAATTCACATTCACATTCTTGCAACATAAACATTTTGTTCGATTAGACAATTAGGTAATAATTTTTACAGACCTAATTAAGTTACGGTTAGGGTTTCAAGCGCCTTTACGTAAAGGTTGTTTCTGAGGTGCTGTGTGAGTATATTGTAGTATTATATACTCTAGTAGTATGAGTTTAGTCATAACCATTATACTGCTATGCCACAAATAAGTGCAGGTAACATGAAGACAATACACACTAATGTTAAACAGCACAGCAAAGGATGTTTCAGTGATGTTTCAAATGAATATGAAAACACTGAAGTCCCTCAGTCACCTCCCGCTGTCTAGTCTGTTTCACCTGAAGTAGTCCGCTTTGTGTTTGAGGCAGAGTACATAAAAGAATGGCCATTTTTTGGGGTTGGCCTTAGCCTAACATGGACACCAGAGCACTTCTGTTTACTCTCATACCACCTAAAAGATGCTGCCTGACTAAACTGCAGCATTAGACATCGTTCTGTGGTTTGTGTGTGCAACAAATTCCTGCAGCGTGGGATGGTCGGAGGCAGGGGATGTACGTACGAGACAAATGACTTCAGAAATTCGACCGAGCTGAAGTTGGCTTCTAATTTGAATTTTCTGTTCCACCTTAAATAATGCAGCAATTATATTCAGGCTCCTGTACAGGTGCCAGAATGTAACTGCTGCTCCATTGAAAGGCTGAACAGAAAATTCAAAACAAAGACAACTTCAGCCCTGTAGAAATTCAGACATGAAACAACAGTTAGCATCATTTTTGCTGGGCCTGTAGAGCTAATGTTCGAAAGCAATACTGACATAGGTTTATCCATATATTGTCCATATATTGTTTATCCATATTTTGGTGTTGGTTTTTACTATTTTGCAAAATAAAAATATTCAGATTTACTTTAGATGTTTAAAATAGTTCTTATTAAAAAGTGAAGGGAGATCCCAGAATAATGAACTACTGTTAATTTTTATTTAGTAGATATTAGTTAATTATGTTTTTACCTGTTAGGTATCAGGTAGTTAAGTTCACTTAAGCATCTATAATGGTTTTATTTGTAAGTCACACTTAAAAAAAGACAGGCATCTTTTTTTAAGTGTGTACTTGCAATAGAACCATAAACAACCAAAAAGAAAATGGCTATATAGATCGATAAACACTGATTAACACATGACTATAGGGTTCTTAGCATTGTAAAAGACTTCTTCAGATTGATGGAGAATGTGTTGTACATGGTTCTATAAAGAGCCTTTTTGAAAAGGGTTCTATCTAGCACCAAAAAGAGTTCTTCTGTTATCTTTTCATGTTAACATTTCATGGTGCAAAAAGACTTGTAATCACGCAAAAGGTTCTCTGAGCATTCACGGTTCTATATCAAACCATTTTCTTTACTAAAGAACCCTTGAAGAAACATCTTTTTTAGAGTGTGTATATACCATGATATACACCAAAACTGAAATTTTAATTATACTGGCCATGCTGCCCAACACTAGTACGTACTGTATGAGTGTTGTGTGTGTGAATGCACTGACTCCTTAAACTTAAGGTTTATTATTCACTGTTCAGATCTTTGCACGGCTTTGGTACTTTACTGAAGAACAAGAGCACAAAGCCGCACGGGAGCAGCGGAGCAAATTTACAAACAGTCGTCAGAGCAGATTAGCTCTTCGTTCTGTCTGTCTGCTCCCGTTGATTCCGATTTCCATTTTGATGAGAATTATCGATGTATTAGCACTAAATTCATTAACAGCAGAGGCGAGCACCAGCTAAGAATCGTTATGCTGAAACATAGAGAATTCTCAGTGGAAAGTGTAGCACTGTCCAAAAGATGCTTTGTTTACACTAACAGTGTCTTTGGGAATTGGAGTCCAATAGCGTTTGTGATAAAGAGGTCTTTGAGGGTTATCTGTGTTGGCGGAGGCACTAACCAAAAACTGTCCTGGCAGGGACAGACTCGCGGTTGAGCCAGAAGGACACCTGGGACAGGATGACCGTCATGAAGCAGGGCATGTAGGTCTGAATTACAAAATAACCAATCTTCCTCTTCAGGTAGAAGTGGGCCATCATCACCGTGTATTGACCTGTAAGGCGAGAAGGACATAGATAGGATCAAAAAAGAAAGCAAAGGGATAAAAAAGTGATAGAAAGATAAGCAAGAGAGCAGAGAACAGATGAGTAATAGACAGAGAGAGGGAGAGTGTGATTAAACTTGAGGGTTGAGTGCAAGCCATCTGAGAATCTGAGAGGTTTATAGAGAGAGAGAGAGAGAGAGAGAGAGAGAGAGAGAAAGAGAGAAAGAGAGAAATCCATCTTTGCTGTTATATGATAAGAACAAATGAGAAAAGTGTTGGAAAATGCTAAACGATGGTAAGAGTAGCTGAAAGCAAGACTGCATTTATGAGCCCATCTATAGACAGCAGGCTCTTTAGCACCAAATAGTGGTCAGTTACTGTAAAGTCCAATCTACTGGGAGGTCTGCTCTGACATGAGCCCCTCATTTAGCCCTTAAAGTTAATACAGCAAAACTGCAATAACACAGTCCTCAGCTACTCCCTTAAACCTCACCCTTCAATCTCCTTCAAGTGCACATTGTTGAAAGCGGGCTTTACACATAGAAGAAATAGTAATTACATTTTATCAGTAATAACACCTTTATTACATTTTTGAAAACGTACGTTGTACTTTATCTGTTATTCTTTTATTTTTTTATGTTCAAAATTGTTACAAATGGTTATGGCACAAAACTCATTTCATTTATAAAATGTAGGTTACCACTTTACAATAACACTACTGTTATAGACGGTTTAACGGTTTATAAATGGTGTAAGATTAGTTTATTAATGGTTATTGATTTGGTCATAAACACCAAAATATTACTTAATAATTATTAATGAATGAATTAATTAATTTTATCAATATTAATTATTAATAAGCCATTATAATACACACCACGATCAGGCATAACATTATGACCACCTCCTTGTTTCTATACTCATTGTGCATTTTTTCAGCTCCACTTACTATATAGGTGCACTTTGTAGTTCTACAATTACAGACTGTAGTGCATCTGTTTCTCTGCATACTTTGTTAGCCCCCTTTTACCCTGTTCTTCAGTGGTCAGGACCCCCCTGGACCCTCACAGAGCAGGTACTATTTGGGTGGTGGATCATTCTCAGCACTGCAGTAACACTGATGTGGTGTGTTAGTGTGTGTTGCGCTGGTCTGAGTGGATCAGACACAGCAGTGCTGCTGGAGTTTTTAAACACCTCAGTGTCACTGCTGGACTGAGAATAGTCCACCAACCAAAAATATCCAGCCAACAGTGTCCTGGGGGCAGCATCCTGTGACCACTGATGAAGGACTAGAGGATGACCAACACAAACTGTGCAGCAGCAGATGAGCTATCGTCTCTGACTTTACATCTATAAGGTGGACTGACAAGGTAGGAGTGTCTAATAGAGTGGACAGTGAGTGGACACAGTGTTTAAAAACTCCAGCAGCACTGCTGTGTCTGATCCACTCATACCAGCACAACACACACTAACACACCACCACCACGTCAGTGTTACTGCAGCGCTGAGAACCACCACCCAAATAGAACCTGCTCTGTGAGGATCCATGGGGGTCCTGACCACTGAAGAACAGGGTAAAAGGGGTCTAACAAAGTATGCAGAGAAACAGATGGACTACAGTCTGTAATTGTAGAACTACAAAGTAACTGGAGCTGATAAAATGCACAATGAGTGTAGAAACAAGCAGGTGGTCATAATGTTATGCCTGATCGGTGTAAATAAAATGTTGACCTGTTGCTTGTCAACATTCATCTATACTGTTAATCTGAGATCTTGCTTGTTGCTTCTTCATGAGTCAGAATTGTAACAAATTGCAGCTACATCAGATTTTCATATTCATTAGATTTAACAGGTCACTGTCTGCCTTTTTATTTATGTTTATTATTACAGCATGATAGTGATTCTTCAAGCGTTCAACCTAATTAATAACCATTAATGCACTAATTTTAACCCATTAATGAGACTCTTATATAGATAGTCTTACTGTAAAGTGGTACCAAACATAGACATTGGGACAACACCTATTTGGATTAGCATTACATAGAAATAACATTAATGCTGCCATACTAGCAGAGTAGTATAGATGCTCTTCAGGACATCACTGACTATCAGTTTGAAATACTGGTCAAATATAAACATCTGTCTGATATTATTTTGTATTGTTTCACAATGTGCCTCCATTTATGTGTATAAATGCCCCAGAATTTCAGTCAGTGAAGGCAAAAAATTACTCCTTAAAAATGACTATTTCCTACCCTGATTACTGAGTGATCTGCATTAAGATTAACAACTGATTCATTTTAAGAGATTAAATACCTAAAACACAAGCCACCTATACCACATAAGAATCATTTAACATGATAATATGACAGTGTATACATTTATTATTCATATGTGACTGATTATGAAACAGAATGAGTGAATGTGGATGTGGTTAGCTGGAGGGTGCAGCAGGTGGGTTGAGCTCTTTGACCATGTTCACACTCTCTGTGGGGACATGGGTAAGTAAATCATTAACAGGAATGAAAGAATGAATACAGCGAGAGTGGAAAAAACATCATATATCCTGTTAACCAAGCAAAGATTGCATTCAAAGCTTTTAAAAAATCCTTTCGAGCCACAGAGTCTGATAAACTATAGAAAATCCACTGATGACTGCTGCTTTCTCCTGGCAAAATCCGATTTTTGTGTCCCACTAATCCCTTGTCACAATCTGCATCCTGCAGCTCTCTCTCTCTCTCTCTCTCTCTCTCTCTCTACCCGTCTCCCGTCCCCTCTCTCTCTTTCTAGCTCTCTCACTCTTCCTCATAGACCTACCCACCCCCGTCAGGCCAGGCCAACCTCGTATGGGCAATACACTGTCTTATCCAGCACACAGGACAAGAAGGAGAACGAAAAGCGGGAAAAGAAAGTAGGAAGTGCGGCTGAACGCACAGGAACAAGTGGACAGTAGGCTGTGACTGACCCAGCAGATCAGATGAAGGGGGCCAAGCACTGCTGAGAGCAGGACGCAGGATCTTAAAGAAAAGTTTGAACCAGCAAGGCTCATCAGAATGGCCCTGGGGGCGAGCGTGTCCTCACTGAGGGGGGCTCACAGCATCCATCTCGTTCCCTTCCTCTGTCCTGCGTGCCCATGAGCAGCGGGACGGTGTCCCACTTCAGAAAAGCCTGCCTTGGATGGGACTCTTCTGAGAGGAGGTAACCATGCGGCTGTGGTGGATCTTACTGCTCAGCTTTTGGAGTGTTTACGGCGAGCTACCGTTCATAGCGGAGAACAATGCTGCCATGTTGGTCAACTGGTGAGTGGTCATCTTTTGCTTCTACCCTGCAAGCGGAAACCTAAAGGCTAAGCCGCTAAATCACATGGTGTTCTTTTCAGATCAGTTTTGGTTTTAAAATAATAAAAGGTGATGGGTTATCTGCACCTCTTTATCTGTGAGACGCGAGTGATGGAATGTTGACATTTTCACTGGCAATAATTTCACATCAGTTTGGCATATAAGGCACTCTTTTCACTCTCCCTCTCTCCCTCTTTCGCTGTGCTCACCGGGTTTCTCAGTTTAACTGTTGCTAATGACTCTGCTCATGCTGTGAGGTCGTGGTGGATCTATTCTTGACTTTGTTAAAGAGGGTTTGCACCTCAGATTAGCGCCACTAATAGCCCTGCAGCCTTCTCCTTGCAGGTCGGCCAGAGCAACATATATGGCGTGAGTGGGGGAGGGAGGGAGGGAAGGAAAATGAAAGAAAGAAGAGAAGGCCTTATTGAAGACCAGGTGAGGCCATGCCCTCTGGATCTGTCTGTGGTTCCACTAGGTGTGTGCTATATATTGTTTGCCCATCAAACTGAAAGAAATGGTTCATGATTTGATTGTGTCGAGTGGCTGCAGACGAAGACAATATGTTACATCAGCACAGTTGCTTTTAAATGGCCAGGGCCCACCAGCAGCGCTAAAGTTATATCACACAATTCTAATCAATTCAAAGCACCATTTTTCAGAGAATTTTTCCAGTATTTCCATTTGCAGTACTGCGAGTGCAGAGATGCAATATGTAAACAAGCATGCTAACAAATAATTTTGTTTATCAAATTTTTTATGGTGTGCTGTGAGCATCATGACCAACCTCATATGCTTTAGATGAACGTTCTGCTTTGATGAATCAAGGCACTGACATGATCCAACAAACGTTTTTGCAGTCCAAAAAAAATGTATCTTCATTTTTTTCTGATTTTATTTTCTACAATATTTGAACACAGCAGCTGTTCTTTACATTGTGTGAAACTTCATGAACAATGGACCAGTAGAAATGATCAATCTCTTTAGATTAACTTGTCTTAAAAGTCAAGGATGTTTTGCCTTCTCATTTTGGAGATATGATCATTATTAATATTATTATTATTTTTTTTGGATAACAACAATATTCTGCACAATTTCAGTCACTGTAACGCAAGGCAGTCTTTAACCATGATGCTTTAGGGGTCAATTAAAGTATGTTTAACAGATCGCAACGCTCATCACAACTGCAATATGCAGCAAAAAAAATCACAACATTTTTGCAGCCCTAGTTTCTTCTTGCGGCCACCTGAGTATTCAGTTAACTTTGAGCTGCAAGTGCCAAGCAGAGAGCAAAGACAAATGGGATTGCAGAGAGCCTAAAAAGGAGATGCGGCTGACAAACTACTCAGGCCTTACTCATGATCAGGGTGAAACAATGTTCTAATGCAATGGATCCATCCAGTGCTTGGGCCCCGCCAGGCAGTCCTCATATTTGCTCTAATCTAGCTCTAATTGCTCCTATACCCTTTATTCAATGTTCTTGATCGCTTGGGTCAGGTGTGTCCAGCAAAAATGTGGGCCATCTGATGAAAACTGTGACCATAAAATGTGGACCACCCTGAGGATCTTAATGAAGATGACAGGAGATCCATATATGTCCATCTACAGAGGCAAAAAGAGGGGGGAAGCCGCCCCCCACGTGCACCCTGTAATAACCCCTGGGCTGAAGACAACTATGATAACAGTGTATTACCACCCCTCTTTACATAACCGAATTAAGCAGATGCTGCCTGGACCCCCTCCTTCCCGCCCCCTTTCCCACGTGTCCCAGTGTCCCGGGCCGGCTCCAGCCAATGGTGGGATGCTGACGTCACTCAGTAAAAGCACAACTGATGGGGAGGCACACGGATTAACCCTCCAGACCCAATGGCTCAGGACAGGGATAAGTGTTTTTTTTTCTCCCTCCCATCTCCCTCCCTCTCTCACTCCCTCTTTCTCTCTCTCAGTCAGGCTCTAGAGACAGCTGGCCGTGAGTGGGAGGTGTTCTCAAATCCTCACCATTCATTTGTCATCTCCATCCAGCCTGATTTGAAAACTCTTTACTTCTCACACTAGTATTGCACAATCAAAGTGCAGTCACATTTTAAACAGGGACAGTGTCGCTAACGTAACTTCTAGGTGGAGACAAATAAAACACCAGCTGTGTGAACATTTCAAAACCAATGGACCAACAGAACTGGTCCAAATTTGCTTAGGATAAAATGTTGTTACACTGTTATTATATTCTAATAATATTAAGAACACTTTGTCTCAGCAACAATATGTGTATAACACCTAAGGTCATGCAAACCACAACAACACACAAGCTGTGCACTCCTGCATGCAGATATTATGTGTTTTCACGGTAAGATTAAATAACGGTCATACAAATAGGGGAGGACATGGGGTATTAGCTGGGTCATGCCACTAGTGACTGTGGAGATGACGGCCAGATGCTGACATGACTGACAGCTGTGCCTGAATATAGGGGGGTTTACCTCTGCTGGTGCTGATGTCCTGAGTGCCGGCTGTCTGGCCAACCAGATGGTACTGGTTGAGTCGGGAACCTTCTTCCGCCACAACCACAGACTTGGCCGGGCCCTGGGTCCACTTATACACAACCTCTGAGATCGGGTACGCATCTGGAAGAACACGCAGAGAGCTTAGCAAACCCATCACATCCCATGAGGTCAAGATACAGTATTGTGCAAAAGTCAGAGACCATTTATTTAATTTAAGGACAAGTTATTTGTTTTTCAGGAGATATTTCTGAGGAGATTATAGATAAGAGAATGCACTTGCATAAAAAAGGGGAAAGTCAAAAATAAGTGAATAAACAGGAGTTTCTGAAACTGGAGTTAAAAAAATTAATAAAAGATACAGAATTAAGGGGACTCTTAACGACCATACAAGATCTGGTAGACCACCAAAACTGAACAGTACTTTCATTTTTGAGAGAGAGGAGAAAATCAAGCTCCACTCTCTTCAGATCAGAAAAAATCCAAAGATGTTTCTGTCCATCCTTCCACTCTGAGAAGACAACACTATCAGTGTAGCTATCATGAAGCTTTTTCTGAGGAATTGAGGAAACAGACAAAAAAAAGACCCAGAAAAATCAAACAAAAGAACCTACTGATGTTCTCAGAACTATGGACTAGCCACCTCTGGACCTCATTATTACCGAATGTTTAGGATTACTTAATTATGAGCAGTGGAAAATGCAACCAACTCCTAAGACTGAACTTTGGAGGTGTGGAAAAATATCCAGTTTGAAAGTCTCCCAAAAAGATTGGAAGCTGGAGGCAAAGGGTGGACACACTAAATACTGAAAAACGGTTAGTTGTTGAGACCTTTGTGTTATTTCCCCTTTTTTTTCTGATCATGACAAAAGAATAACATAATTACTGACTGTTTTGACTGAAAATTAAATGTAAAATGGCCTCTTAGATGACTTTTGCACAATATTGTATGAAGCAAATTCTGTAAGAACTGCATTTGAGCTAGTGTTACACAATGTGGACAAAATGCTAGTGTGACCATTATCTAATATTGCAATTGTAATAAGCCTTGCAGTTTATTAAAAGTCACTGATTAAAGATTGGCCTACATTAATTTGGTCAAGATGCTCACAGTACAAAGTAACATATCCTGAGGGCTCATTTGCATATCACAATAAAAATGAACAAACAATGTATTGTGCATCCCTTGCTGGCATGAACAGACATCTGTGTCACACAGTGTGATTAAACTCTTGACTTACAGACTGCATCACAATTGATTTGTGCAAAGAATCACACTTTCTTATCAGTTAAGAATGTAGTCTATCAGCAGCTGTGAAATATTTGACTTCTTCACTAGTGGCAGCCACGCTTGTCCAGCTCCACCAAGTCAAGCATTAGTGGTAATAAATTTAATCAGCATCTGTGTTGCATAATGAGATCAGAGTTTCAGGTGAACAAAAGAGCCATTTGAAGGCATCTGTTCTTCTGATTAACACAATACGATTCAGTGAGGCATCTCATTAAAAACCTTAAAGAGTAGTGTCAACACAGCGGTGCTAATAAGCAGCGTACTGTAGTTGGGAGTCAATGAGACTTAGTGTAGGTTTGGGTACAAATAACCGATTACTTTCACTTTAACTAGTCATTTATTATAGCGAGGAACACCATCTAATTGGAGAGGAACTCAATTCTCTCTGGGTCATTTCCTTGAAATAAATAAACAAGAGTGTACAGCACTGCATTTTCATGATGTCTAATCTATAGATAGAACAAGTCCCTAACGTACACACTGGTCGATTTGGCTGCAGCACTCCTCGCTTTATAGAACTCTCTTTTTCTCCCTTATCTCTTGCTCCAATCCCCCAACGCACTCCATCATGGCATCCAATCTCTAAGCGATCCATTAATCCTGCCACTCTCATGACGGATGTCTCCAGCGCAATTAAGATTGACTCCAGCCATCCAGACTGTGGGATTATTTGGCCCCAACGCTCCATGCTCACACACTCGCGCGTACACACACGCACCCCTCTCTAGGACAGTCAGACAGCTGCACATCATGTGATCAGCTCCCTGCTGCAAAAGACCACACCTTCAGCAAAGGCTCCACGTACTCGCTGTTGTAACACGAACTTGTTCCTCTGCAATGGTAACTTGACAGAAGAAGGAAGAAGCGTTCTAAACATTAATGTACAGCACTGTGCAGAAGTCAGAGACCACCCTAGTCAAAATGGCAAATAATAAGTATAACAGACATTTCTGAGGAGATCAGATGTAAGATAATACATTAGTATATAGAAGGGGAAAGTCAAAAAACCGGAGTTCAAAAAATTATTAGAAGACTCCCAACAACTGTGTAAGACCCGGCAGACCATCAAAACAGTCACCATCAGACAGTACTTAAAGCTTTCATCTTTGAGAGAGAAGAGAAAATCAAGCCCCAATCTTGCTTCAGATCTGAATAAATCCACGGGTGTTTCTGTCCATCCTTCACTGTGAGAAGACAACTCAACACTGTGAGTCTGAAAAGATGTGTAGCTGTCTAAGAAAAGAAATTAGACAACAAAGAAGGGAATTTGCAAGTCATACAAAGATGTTACTGGTGCTCTCAGAACAATGGACTGGCCCAGAGTCTAGACCTTAACATCACTAAATGTATGTGGAAAAATATCCCTGCTTGTTTCTTTAAGAAACTAAAAATCGTATTATATTTCATTTTTGAAGCTTCTGTCATTTTCTGTTAAATCCTTTTTTCTGTTTTTTCCTTGATGCTGAAAAATTAATAACTTATGTAAGTGGAAATTAAATAAATGAAGAGTGCTCTCTGACTTCTGCACCACACTGTACATAATGCATGGAATGAGATGCTATTCTAACTAATTTTGGGCCACTTCTGTTGCTACTAGTCATGAAGTGTTTACAGTTGGTAATAACAAAAGCCGAACAAAACTGAGAACGTTGTGATATGACAGTGACATGCCTCAGAGCACGACCAGTATGAATATCCTGAAACTGATTGTGCTCAGAGGCAAACCTTTGAATGCTTTTAGTCACTGCATCAAAGCATTCTACACTCGCTCCATAATATTTTAATAAAGGCTGAGACGAAACAAAACACGCAACCTTCCACAATTGCATTAAATTATAATGAAATTATCTTAAGCAAACTTAGTTACAACTTCAAGCATAAGCACGGCACCAAAGCGAAGCCTGATTTGATGAGTGACACTTCTCTTATTTAATTTTATTCTAATTTCGGCTCTTGTTTTAAACAAGTACTTTATGTAAGGTGTAATTACAGTGAGCAGCTTGAGGAATCCTTGTCATTCTTGAATAACCTTTCACTGCTCGGTGCGACAGGCCAACAGAGGACAAGCCCAGCCATCGGCTGCTAATGCGGCGGAAGTCTCAGCATGGTTTAAGTCACAGCAGGTTATACAGCTAAGAATGAGCTCATGAAGTGTTGCTCTGAGGAAACCTCTCCTCTATCAGCTCTATTTAAAGACCAGAGGCACTTCATTCATCAGTCAATATGCCATAAATTACTTCTGCCCCTTAGAATACTGTTGCTGTTAGACCTTGTAACGTTCTTTATTTTTAGTTTTGCTAGATCTCCTTTACACTTAGGGGAACATTTTATGAGGAATGGACCAATAAAAATAGTATAAAGTACTGGGAATTAAGTCTTGTTTCGTTTGCACACATTAACGTCAAGAACACTGTGTTGAAGAGTCTGAGCCCCATTAAAGCTGGATTTTATTATATATATATATATATATATATATATATATATATATATATATATATATATAGAGATAGATAGATAGATAGATACTATAGGAGGTCTGGGGATGTAATTTGTAATTTGAAAGACGTTCACTTCAGCAGTAAGCTTAAATGGATCCAAACATACAAACAACAAAAATTAACTTCCATTTAATATCAGATAGAATAGTAGAACACTAGTACAATGGGCTCATTTAACTTAATAAAAGTCGCTCAACAGGACAAAAAGATGCTTTGCCCTATGGTTGATACCTTCAGACATTCCATTTTATTCTTCTTCTATTTAGCCCATCACCAGAAATGTTTTAAATTACAGTAGTCCTGTTTTGAATTTGAGCATAAAGGAATTGGAGGGAGTCGAAGTTTTGTGCTGATTTTGTGCTGATTACCAGGTCCACTATTGAAGGAGCTCAGAATTAGACAAATTACAGAAGATAATTCGCTCCAGACTTAGCAGACTTGTGAAAACTAGAGACATGACAAATTTATACTGTATAAAAATCATGGATCTCATTGGGAATCTCAAAATAATATGACTATATATATATATATATATATATAGCAAAATTAGTCCTGTTTAACTGAATTTAGTTCAACACAGTATGTAAAATACTACATAAAAATAACTGTATTCACAGTTTTTGACAGTATCTTTTTAAATGTAGCACTACTGGTTCTTTTTTCTCTGTTCCCACTGATCAGATGTCTGAAAAAAGAAATATTGTGACATATTGCACATTGTGAAAATTTCTTGAAGTATCACAATGTTATATTTTTGCCGTATCGCCCAATTACAGCACCACCCCAGATAAAACTAATCCATCTCAAATAGAACTAAAGCTCTCATTAGATCTTCACAATTTTTCCTGGACCATTATCACAGCAGCATTTGCAAACCTACAGCCTGCATAAGTTGTGAAAAAAGACATGGAAAGAAGCTTTTTTTCCTCAATGGCAATATGTAAACATCACATTAGCCTGCGTGGCTTTTTGTCCAGATAGTGAGGACTTACCTGAGCTATGCTAATTCCTATAAGCTCCTTATCTAGCTAGCGAGAAATTGTATTTGACCATGGTAAAGACAACAAAGCTTAATAATGTGCTAAAGTGAGTTTTGTGTTTAATATTCACATTTTTGCCCCCTCTGTTTATGACAAAAGGTGGTAATTCCATAACCACTCAGCTAACCTATAATGATGTACGGCTACCTGGTGGTTGTCATCTTCACTATATAGTATGTCTTTAGGCCTTAGTACTTGCTAGCTGACCCCACAACCTGTAACCAGCCCAATGTTTAAATGAAATTCAGGCTATGCCTGATTTTGTTCTAACAGTGATTATATGTTACAAAACAT